CACACACACATAGGGAGTCACCCTCGCTCCCCTCAACCATCTCTAACACAAAGCCAAGCCATGGCGTCTCTCACCGCCCGACCCCTCCACCAGTTGGAGTTGAATACCCTATCCCATGTCCCGGACGCTTATGCATGGTCCGCCCTGAACGACCTTCCTTACGGAGACGACGTCGTCCCCGTCGTCGACCTCGCGAGTCCCGACGCCGTCGGTCTCATCGGCCGGGCATGCGAGGAGTGGGGCGCGTTCCAGATCACCGGGCACGGCATCCCGCTCCATCTGCTGGACCGCGTCGAGGCACAGACGCGCCTCCTCTTCTCCCTCCCCACCGCCCAGAAGCTGAAGGCCGCTCGAGGCCCCGGTAGCCTCAGCGGCTACGGCCTCGCCAACACCTCCTCCTTCTACTCCAATATCTTCTGGTCCGAGGGCTTCACCATCATAGGATCTCCCTACGACGACGCCCGCAAGCTCTGGCCCGAAGACTACGAAGAGTACTGGTACGTCCATCCCCCACGCGTGCGTGCGTGCGTGCATGCATGCATGCAGGGTTTCTAATTCATAGGCGGGCGGATGGCTGATCACATCGGTGCTGTTTCATGCAGTTGCGTGATGGAAGAATATAACAGGCTGATAAAGGCTCTGAGCGGGAGGCTGCTGCGGTCGATGATGCTTTCGTTGGGCCTCCACGAGGAAGACATGGACTGGGCCGGCCTTCTTAGCAAGGCCGATCCTGTGCTCCAGCTAAACTACTACCCGGCCTGCCCCGAGCCCGACAGGGCCATCGGCATCGCCCACCACACCGACTCCAGCTTCATCACCATCCTCTACCAGAGCAGCGGCGAGAGCGGGCTTCAGCTCGTGCACCGGGAAGACGCAGCGGGCCCCGCTCGGTGGGTGACGGTGCCGCCGCGTCGTGGAGCCCTGGTCGTGAACGTCGGAGATCTGTGTGAGATCGTATTCAACGGCCGGATCCGAAGCGTGATGCACCGGGCCATCGTCAACCGTACCCAGACTCGCGTCTCGGTGGCGTACTTTTGTGGGCCTCCGCGCCAGTTCAATGTTGCGCCCATCGGGAAGCTGGTTGGCCCAAACGAGCGCCCGGCATACCGAGCCATGTCGTGGCCCGAGTTCCTGAGCTTGAAGAGGAAACTCTACAACAAGACGCTGGAATACTTGAGATCGCCGGAGGAGGAAGCGGAGGATCACAAGAATACCTCCGAGATGGCCAATCAGAAGTAATCAAGGATGATGAAAGGGGAAGCAAAGGTGGCAGTTTGGTCTTATGAACGAGGGGTTTTTCGTGTCAAAGTCCTCAGGTGTTCCCCGGAAAGAGTGCAAATAAAGCTAATCCTCGTACAAGATATAAACTATGAAGACGTGTCTGCATTGTCCCGTCCCTGCAGAAATCAGACAAACATTTCTGAAACGAAAAAAAGAGAAGAAAAAAAAAATAATAATAATAGAGAGATACTGGAATTATTAGTCAATAAGCCAAACGAGTAGTGGAAAGAAAGTAGAGGAGAACCCAGAAAACAAAAACAAAAAAAAATCGTACCATTCCCGGCCTCGCCTCGGAGATGCTTCCTTCCTTATTAGATCCAACTGGTACCGTTTTGATCACGAAGAAGGGACGTAACTCGGGCGATGCACTGCGACGGTCTTGTGACTGACATGGTGATGCATACAAGGACGGCCATGATCACCGAGTGGGTCGCATGTCGAAGGCGATGGCACGGCCGCGGTTGGTGCGCAGGACTAGTTTGTCCTCGAGTCGCGTGACAGTCGCTGCTGCATGCAGCCAATTAAGTCGAATTGGTGGTCTCTTTCTTCTCCGGACATGCAACCAGTGCACCGCTCGTATCCATGTCTCCTCCATCTCTCCTGTCCTCCAAAGGCCATATACGACCGTGAAGCTTCGTCTACCCAATGGGCGTCGAATCGCCCTTCTCTCTCAAGACGACAAGGGGTGCCCATGAACCACCAACCAGTCCGCCAACGACCACCACGGGGTCCCAACCATCAGTTCAGATCATGTTGATGAGCTTACCGTCCCAGATGTCATCGTCGTCGTCTCCTCGATCGGGCAATTTATGGTCCCTTCCTCCGCTCCTGCATCACGTTAAGAGATGCGATGCATCGAATCGACAAGAACATCGTGTTCAGATCACACGCGATACGAGCAGGCGTCATCTTAGCCAATAGCCGCCTCTCCTCTCCTCTCACGAGAACATCGCAACCTTACCGCTCCCGTCTTTCTTCTTCTTTCCATCCATCCCCTCGTGTGACTCCAAGCCTTTCGAATCGTAATCCTCCGATTGGCTCTGCGGTCACAACATGGATAGACGTAAGATGCACCGCAGGCTACGGGGAGACAGATAATAAAGAAAATGAAATCGAACCAAATCGTGCAGTGGCCGATGCAGATTCTTCTCCCAACATACCGACGACCACATTAACTATTCGTTATGCAATCAATCAAAAGTTCATTCAAAGAACATAAGAAAGCAACATCATCATACACCTATGCCAAACCCTTGAAAGATGTCTCCAAAGAGAGATTCAAATTATAGTCCATCGCGTGCCTCCCTCACCACGACCGGAAAGTCCACCTAATCACTGCAATTAGACAATAAATCACATCTCCAGCTCAGTCCTACACCTGGAATATGCATAAATGAACATAATGAAGCATTCAGGCAGGCAACACGAGACAAGTTTCTCTATTGTAGTAGTGACGGGTTTCCTTTAGGTGAAAATGAACTGGATGGGGAATATTCGTAATACACACATGTACGCCGGATGATGCCTCAGGCAATCTATGACTTAATCATGCGACAGGACCACGAAACTCACTCTTATGGTCTCCACAAACACATCAAATGATACTATTGATTTATTGCCGGTTGGTCTGCCTGAAAAACAAATTGCACCTACCTGCAATCAGTTTGGAGGACACCAGAACCTTTCCTTTAAACAAACCTCAGACAGATTTTGAGACTGGTGCAGTTCCATCTTTATCACATCTGATGAAGCACGGGGATGGGCTTACCACTGAGTCAGAAACATATCCTAGCCCCGGTTCAAAGATTTCTGCAAAATCTATACGTCAGTAACAGAGAAATCACCTTGATTAGACCATGGGCATGAAGCATTAAATGCTGCAGTGCAGAAAGAATGGAGAAAAAAGAAGAATCTAATTGAAAAGGTACCAGAGGGATGCACTTGATGACATGCGATTTTGAACTAACTGGCTGAGCCTTTCATTTTTTGTGCACTCATCCTGTGACACCACATATTTCAGGAAATCTTTATGGTTAGAAACATGGAATCCTGTCTATTTGCAAGTCTAGGATATAAGAAGGCTGCACTAGGCAGAGGAACAACATACCGGAAAGAATTTGCAAGGTAATTACTGAATGTGGTGCTTACCTGGAAAGCCTTTAGAAGCGATGAAAAATGCCGCTGGTCTGCTATAGCTGCTGTGTACTTCTCCCTCAGAAAGTCAGAATGTTTCTTTTCAGCCAGTAGCCTAAGCTGTACCTTTTCCAGTTTCTGAAAGAAAAAAAATTAGTAAAAAGGTGTGATTGTGTATGACCTAAAGACTCGGTAACTTCCAGCAAATTCTCCTGACTAAGAACAAGCAAAACTGATTTAAGTAGTACCTGATTGCAAACAGACCTCGAAAAAAGAGAACACTTGATTAATCAGATAATAAAGTGATGTTTCTAACGCATTATGCTGTATGACAACTCAACAGACACAAGATGCTCTACCGTTCCAAGAATCCAACCGGCTGAAAAAGCCACTTGAAAATAAACATCTCTTGCCAACTTATGAGTTATGTAATGACAACCCTTAATGCTGAAAATAACATACTATGTATAAGTTTTCAGTTTCATGGCTCGAGGTGTGAAGGTCATCAGTCTGCATGTATATATGTCAGTTGGTTCAAGTCAAATTGGCTCCATCAGCAAAATCGGGAGCAACACTAGGGTAAATAGTACATCAGCTTACCCCAAGCATTGCATGGAACCACTTGTCAGGACTGGCATAGCTGGCATGTACAGGCCATGATATTAAGAGAGATAAAACAGGTACCATCATTCTGCTCTCACCTACAACAAAAATTGCAGTGATTTAGATCACCCCAAGTAAGAGACACTAGCATTCTTGATCCTGTGGTATCCTTTTTTATTCTCCAATGCAGCACACAATACTGAGGACTTTTTTCCTTAGAAAAACCACCTAAAAATGATTTAGCATAGTTTGAACTATTTGAAAAAAAAAAAGTTTTGCCCTTTTGTCCATCCACATGTCTCATCAAACTCTAAGCACCAAATGCCCCCTTTTCACTCTCTTCTTAGACAGTAGATCTTTGGCCAAAAGTCTTCTCCAGCAGTGGAGATTGTATGAAAGTAAGGTCCACTCACAATCGACTTCAACAACACCAACAACAAAAGTATAAAGCAGGGTTTACCATACCGACTTGTATCACTCGGTACGGGCGGTATATACCGAGGGGGGACGCGGACTGTCCTCTATCGGGTGGTACCATAACTTGACCCTATATCGAGCAATACAGGATCTGTATTGAACGGTAACGATCGAAATCCAACCGTTAGCGACTTGTACCGGGCGATAACGGTCAAATTTCGACCATTACCGATCAAGGGCTTAGACCACCCTATTTCAAACAATCAAATTGATCATTTGAACCATACTCTTTCAACTCATATCACTCTCTCAATCTCTTCAACTCTTTCAAACCCATTCTCACTCATATCTCTCTCTCATTCTCGCATTTTCACTCTCCTAAACTCAACAAAGCTACGATCTGTAGATTGGATCAAATTTGGGAGGATTAAGAGGAAGATCCCCCTCAGTTAAAACATGGCGGAAGGAGTCGAGCAACATCGAGTCAGACTGCTCGAGGAACTAGAAACACCCAACCATCATAGTCCTCCACCCAGTGTGCAAAGGCAATGGGGAAGGCAATAGCATCAGTCACACCGTTGGAAAGAATCGAGTTGGGCGACGAAACACCTTCTCAATCGTACACAACAACTTGCTCAATCCAGAGACATGGAAGCGATGTTGACAACAATGCCTCAATAGATAATGGTGGCGACGTTGGAGAGTCGATAGTCCTATCTATACAATTTGAGGGTGGTGCATGGATCGAGAAGCAATATTTTACACGTCACTCAATATTCGGATCATAGAACTCGACGAGGTACTAATCAAATTTATACAAAGAAAGGGAAGGGGCAAATAGTGAATGATTTTGAGCAGATATGACAAAGCCTACACGATGTAAACACAGAGCAAAGCTCATCGTATTCACAGACATCCTATCATGAAGAATCTTATTGCCAACAATAGTACAGTGATAGTTGGTCATACTTCTCTGAGTAGTAATACGATGATCGATTTTATGATACAAAACAACAGATCAGTGGCGAAAGTAGAAGTTCTGACATTCTCCATACTCTGCACCAATATATGCTACAATCGTACTTGCCTCAAGAGCCGCCTACTACGACCATCACTATATTGATGCACTAATAGCATACAGTGTATCAGTATACTATGTCGTGGGATCAATTTTACGATTGAGTCCGACAAATATATCAAATTGATACATATATACATAGAATCAAGGACCCCAATCCATCGCTCGTGGAGTCCTATTATTCTTTTTGGTGGTAGAACCAAGTATATTCATCGATCGATTACTTGATTCATTTGAATTTTAAAGTTTAAGTTGTTTAAGAAAAAATCTAACAATCTAAATCATTTCTTTGTAGATAATTCAATATTAATGGAAGGATGATTCAAAACATACCACAAAGTTACTCCTCAAAGCTCGAAAAAGATATCTATCACTGTTCTTTCCTAATTTAGATTCTTTTCACTAAAATTATACTAAATTTATATTTATTTTCAACTTAAAAACCCTAATCTAATTTTTTTTTTATTTTTAAAGAATATTTAGAGCTATTTTTGATTTTTTTGGGCATACCGTCGGGACGCCTTAGTGTATCGTCGATACACCTTGGTATGTACCATACCGACCATTTGTCAATACATCGGTACGAACCAAAATTATGAACCTTGCCGTAAAGTATCAACTATTTTAGATCAGCCACATAGATCTCTTGCCACCATTGATCTATGAAAAAAGGCATATCCATTAGTTAGAGTATCAAAGTTAAGAGTATCACTTCAAATTGTGGTAGATATTCCTTTAATATTTGATCTCATTTCACCCCTTGGTCATTCTGACCACACCTTCCTAGTAGTTGCAAATAAATGCTTGATTGGTTATCATAAAAGAATAACCTTGAACTTCGTTGTGTGTTTATTTATATTCTTCTCATCAAATTCCTACAATGTAGTTTCTATAGACAAGGAGAATGACACGAAATGGAGTCTGAATATTGAAAAATGGTAGTTATTAGCAAAACTTCTTTTGGAACTGGTACTGCAGTGGGACATCAGTTGGATTCCTTGCTAAGTTTAATAGCATTCCATATTGGTGGCCTATAATTTTCTTTTGCATCTAGACCATTTTTCTCCTTGATCATAATGGAATATTTGTTTAAAGTTAAAATGATGTCAGAGCCATTTTTATGCTAGCTTAAGGTTCTGGATTATGTGTAAAAGAATCAATATATGCAATTATTTACACCCAATAAGTAGGTGAAGATAGCATAGACAGCACATATATATGTCTATGACCCATGGCCTAATGACTCCAAAATAATGGAGGACTTGAATCAACAGTCAGAGTGAAGATCTAAGCTCTCCAGCTCCAGAAATGGTGTGAAGTCTATGGGTGCATCAGAAGGCCCTTAAGCAAAAGTTTGTTTCATTAATATTTTGCTATTCTACTAAATGATGTCAAAATGCTATCATGTTTTTCTCTTATTATCCTTTCACATACCTTTTCCTCAGTGTTAAATGCTTTAGCATCACTGAAAGAGCTCCTTTTTATTCATTTCCTCCTAACTAGAACAATTATTAATATCTTGCTATTCAACAATAATGACTTCAAAATGCAGTCATATTTCATCCTTCTACATAACTTTATTTCTTGTCAAATGTTCTTAGCATCATTGAAAGAAAATCTATTTTTTCTTGACTTTATTTTGCTAAGCATGGTTCTATTTATTTCTCTACTTTATTTTGCTAAGCATGGTTTTTATTTATTTCTAAATTGGTGGAAGTCGAGCAACCCTTACAATATATATGTGAAACATAAGATGCATCTTAATTCCTATTGGTACTGACCAAAGAAGAAATCATGTGTGATTGTTGAGGTAAAAGGCCTTAGTAGATGAGAAGCAGCATATTTTTAGTCTCTCATTTTCCTGCCGTGGTAAATAATGAGAGAAGATAATTTTCAATGTAAATCAGCAGTGTCCAAGTTAACTTCAGGAATCTTAAAGCCATCACTTTCCACTCAAATGATAAGTTTAGTGGGGCCATCAATACTTCATAAATGTTGTTACCACCTGCTTATAGAACATGTATATCATATCATCTAAGAAGGGAGAGGTAATAATGCTTACTTGTTGAGCTCCCTTCACTATAACCTCCATGGAGTCCACGAGTTTAGAAGAACCAATGCTGCTAGTCAAGGCATCTTGAAGCTAACAAAGTGAAATAAAAAAGCTGAAGATTATTGTTATAGATCAAAAACAATACTAATACTATACAGGAATGTATCATAGAACTCCACAATATATGAACTCATGCAGATATGGTAACATTTTAAAAACAAAAAAAGAAGAAAAAAAAGATAAAGAGTAATATGGCTAACTGGAAATCAACAAAATAAATCGAGGCTCTAAACTCTAATGAGTATCTTACACTAACTCCATTACTCATCATCATTTAACATCTTAAATACATGTGTGTATATATATAAGATGCAAAATCTTTTTTTTTATGTCATTTTACTGTTCACAAGGCATAATAAAATTTGGTATACCATGGGCAAAACACATCATAACCACCGCAAAGAGTCTAGACTATTGATTGTGCTACTTATCCTATATGAGAACTAATAGATTTGGTTCATTAATGAAGATGAAGAATAACTTTTTTAAGAGACAAAGTTGCCTGCATGATCAATTGATGCATTTGTGTATGTGCCCCAAAAGTTTATTGTACAATATGTCTAAACTTATAATATTTCAATCACTTTTCTCAGTGTGAACAACAAATTTACTTGTTCTATGATCAATCTTTTGACCTGCGAAATAACAAGTTAGCCAAATTGTAAAATTATATTTTAAGGCTAAATTGTAAAATTAGATTTTAAGCTCACACATACAAACCTACAAAAATACCTGTCTGTATTCATCTACACAAAAAGATTGGTCCCTTGTAGTCAAATAAAATTTTTGCCGAGAAACTAGTTTGACAAATCAATTCTACAAGAATTTATAGCACAAATAAATTTAATGTAAACCAATTAGTAATTTGACAGATATCCAAAATACTGGCTGATAATAGCATGATTTTAAACTGACCTGCGAATTTATTGAGTTCAACAGGGATGTTTCTTTTAGCATCAGTTCCTTTATCTCCAATAGTGCATTATAAGTATCATAGTATTTAGAAGTTTGTCTATGCTTTTCCTGCAAACAATCAATCCAAGTCACACTCAGACCATTTAAAGTATCTCATCCAAAACCTTCATCTTTCACAACTCACTGCAAATAATTTCATACCTGAATCTGGGAATAAAGTTCTGAAAATCGCCGTTCATATCTAATGAATTCAAAATAAACAACTGAGTCTTTTAATAGCACTCTTAGACACAATTAACAACATTGAAGAAAAAGCAAATTTCTCCATGTACAACTGTACATAATCTTGGTATATCTATCAAAAAATCATACGATATTTGTAAAAGCAAAAGAATGTACAACTTAGTCTATGTCAAATTTGGACTAATTGTTTCAATCAAGGATTAAAATTTCGTACCATACCGATGTACCGAGTTTTGCTCGGTATGATATGGTACGACGTATCGAGCGGTACACCTAAAAATATATATATATATATATATAATTAATATATAAAAATATAAAAATATATATTTTTATATAAAAATATAAAAATCAATATATAAAAATATAAAAATAATATTAAAAAAATTTAAAAAAGGCGTACGCAGCCTTGACGATGTCGCCTCCTCCTCTTCTCGTCGCCTCGTCTACGGCATTCGACGAAGAAAGCGGCGAAGGCGTTGAAGGCCGTAGACGTCTACGGCCTTCAGCGAAGAACGCGACGAAGAAGAAGGCCGCAGACGAGGCGATGAAGGAGACTGCCTCTTCCGCTGCTCTAGCCATCGCCTCCCTTGATCCCCGTGCCTCCAGATCCTCTTTACAATTCTCCTCGCCATTACCTCCTAGATTGGGATCGTCAAGGGAGAGCGGCACCAGATCGGGATCAAGAAAGGGTGTGGAAACAAGTTCGCGCCGAGGTTCTCCTTATTCTCCCTCTTTATCAAACGCCCTCTCCTTCTTCCTTCTTTGATGCTTCTCTCTCAGCCTTGCCATAGCTAGGCCGCAGCCAGGCTGATACTGTCTGGCAACAGACGGTAACAATCAAAATTTCGACCGTTATCACCCGAAACAGCTCCCTATCGTCCGATACGGGCTATGTCGAGTGGATTGCCCAATAGCAGGTGGTTTGCATACCAATTCACGGGCAGACCGACATGAGCGGTACGATTCTAAATCGCAAACCTTGGTTTCAATAACATCTTCAAGTCATATTAGATGATATGATCTGGTTAGAGCATTTTTGTTTCGTTCTCATTCTCCTTTGTTTCCCATTCGATCGCAAACTAAGTAATCATTCCATCGTCAATTCCACTAACAAAATGTTTCCATAAAATTGCTAAAAACCTCTGTTTTGCCACCCTTAAAAACTAACAAAATGTTTCCAGAACAAAGACACCCTAAAAGTAAAACAAAATAATATTTGCCACGACATATAAATGTGTATATTACAATATTTTTACCACTGTTTTGTAGCTGTACCATACTTTTTTCCATAAATATCTGATGTACTATTAGTAGAAAAGTTTTGTGGCTGCTTCAATCACTTGGTCTCAAGTTATCCATGGAAAACAATTGCAGAAATTAGGATCAAAGTTTCCGATTGCACACTTAAGATCCTTAGTTCACTTTTCTATTTGGCTAAAGGCTTTGAGACACATACTTGGAACAGCTGTCATTTGAAATTGACAGGAAAAATAACTAGATAATTATGAGGAAACAACATATAGTACTAGTCTACAGAATAAAGAAACATACTGAATCAGCTCGACTTGTGTGGGCACATCACCAATCTTTCGTTTTACTGACAAAATTGCCCTTAATTTAGCAGCAAATTCCTAAACATATCACATACAAAGAGTATCAACGTTCTTCTCGACAAAACCAAGTATAACATATAATGTAGAGATCCACCAAAATAAAAGTAGTTTTATCTTTTATGGAACATGGAAAAAAAGATTTCAACATCTTTTTAATGTCTCTAACTGTCTTCAGCTTTTGAACTATGCTGATACCAACTATAAACTCAAGAAAGTATGTGAGGTACAATAAGTGCTAAATAAGTTAAAGGTATGACTCAAATTATCGCATGGATAACTTGACCAAATATTCCATTTCAAGAAAGAACAGCATTGATAAATTGAGCATACCCTTTTAGCTGAAGTAAGTTTCTCCATTGATTGGCTCAGTGCTTCATCAAATTCAGCAAACTCCAGTTGTCCTCCATAGGTAAATGATTCTTCCACATCCGCATGTATTAGTTTACATGAAGACAACAGATCAGATTCTTTCCTTTCAAGATCCTACAGAGTTCATTCACTTTAAAATCAAGTTTGACTTCTCTGTTGTATGTTATGAAACCTTATATGGATCTAAGTCTAGTGGTAACAAATAAATCGATTAATATAAAATTTTACATAAACTCAAAATACACAGGAAATAAATATACACGGATTATACATTCTTAATTAAGTTATTAAAAACTGCAGAATCTTATCAATGATGTTTTTATGCCATTCTCCCTGGAGTCAGCATAGGTAGTTGGTTTGATTTCTTCCAATTTAGTACTACTAATACAGAAAATATGATATTCAAGAGAGTGAAAATTTGTCCATCCAAGGATTGTTTACTGTGTTTAACATAACCACCTAGAGACTAGTATTCACAAGTTTGACGACTCACTCAGGGATGGAACTGGTAGGATGGGTTTCTTGTTCTATGATCATTTTAGTCTCCCTAATTATCAGTTGCAAGGGGTCTGAATCTGAACTACTGACTCCTATGTAAGCTGTGAGTAAAGCTAAGAAGCCTAATTAAAGTGAAGAATAAAGGAAACATGAACATATTGTTTGAGATAATTATGAATTCGCCACAGACTACAAATAGAAGTGCATAAGCCCATTCATTACCTTGCTGATTTTTACTAGCTGAAGTTAAACAAATTGACTCAAAATAACTGAATTTCAGATTTGCAATCGTAACATAGGCACTTATTCATATATGCAATGATCATTTAAGTATGTCTTACTGCAAATTGATCTTCCACACGGGTTGGTACATGTAGGTGATGATGAAAAAGAACATATTTGATATAGAAAGTAACTATTTAGTTTTATTAAAGAGCTTGCCACGAGTTACGAGAATATTATGTGTGTTCCAACTTTCGAATATTCTATCAATGCTTGCTCAAGCTATTACCAATTTCTGCTTTTCCTGACAAACTCCTTTTTGTCCCCTCAATCACTGCTCTATCTAGATAGCAACTTCCCTGGAGAAGGTTTTTCTTTAGTTCAGTTAGGATAATGGTTTCCTTGATGCACCCTGAACATATTGTCAATGAAATGTAAGACGATAATGAATATTCATTCTTATCAATTTATAGATAGCATACTACTGTAACCATGTCAAGATAAAATTACCAAAAGATGGAGCTATCTTCCTAAGATTATTCTGAAAAATCATATACCTTAACTATTTTCAACATTCTGATCATATCCTGGACAGCATCACCCCAGTTTCTTTCATCAATCCTCTGATGCAGCAGCTTTGTTTCATTTAGAACATCTGTCTTTCTCTTGTCCTGGAGAAGTGACATGAAAACAGTAAGAAACCACATATTCAAGCAAGGCACAAAGAACAGCAAAACATAAATCCATAATGATGCAAGGCAAACAAAAACTAACTGAAAATTACTAGGACTTTGGGCATTATACATAATGGTTATTAGTAAGCATATCAGATATTTACTAACCAACTCACTCATTTGACAGGACAGCATCTTAATAGAATTTTCCACCTTGCCATGTTCAGTCTGAAGCTGTTGAACATTATTCTTAGACTCTTTAATCTCAAGAAGAAGATAAGCAACCTATTCAGGATATCAATTTAAGAAAAACATAAATCAGGTAAGTGAGCACAAACATATATGCATGCAATAATCAAGTGATGTTTCCATTAATAGCTCGGACCATTTTTGTGAAAGTAACATTATCAGCATAGAGAATGTTAATCAATATAAATACAAAAAAATCTGTCACATCTTTGTCGAGAATCAAAACACAAAATAGTTCAACTGACACCAAGCAAGAATTGCAGAACATATGGTGTGATGCTATTTCAAAATGAGAATTAAGATTGAGGGTCACTTACAAAAATAGAACAAAAGATGTTTGCATCCATGAACAAATAGGAGTCGTATCAGATTCAGAATAAAATAATGAGAAGAAGTTTAAGATTGTTCAGATCAAGGTTTGTCATTCCGCATCATACTGCCCGGTATGGGCGGTATGTACTGGTCCGACAAAGGACTGGTATGGGTGGTACATACCGGTCTATCGGTATGTCCCACCATACCATGTGTTGGTATGTACCATACTGATGGCCGATCTGTCACGGACAAACTTCT